CAGGGGCTCGTCTACACTGGCCCCTTTTCCGGAAGGGGCATGTTAATTTCACCTATCGTAGTAGGGAAATCCGTGGGGGATTTAAATATCCCCCGCGGCATTTAAATAAAAATGTCCGCCGCTTTTTTCCGGCTTTTAAAAAAGCCGGAAAAGAGCGTCTACACTGGCCCCGATCCTCCGGAAAAAGTGCCCTTTTCCGGAGGGTCTTATTCCTATTTCAAAGTATTTTTATTTAAATGCCGCGGGGGATATTTAAATCCCCCGCGGATTTCCCTACGACGACTGGTGAAATTTACATGCCCCTTCCGGAAAAGGGGCCAGTGTAGACGAGCCCATGGTGTCAAATTTGCAGATGAACTGTAGCTCAGCAGTTTCTCTTTGCAGTCTGTTCTTGAAGGTTTTTTTTTTTTAATATAATATCATTCTATTCCAAATGACTCACATGTGAAATTGAATTCACCCCATCTGGATTTGGAGCCATCAAGTTCTCCATTTAAGATGTAGCTGAACTTTCTCCCTATAACCACGATACCGCAGTTATGTAATGGCTAAATAGAGGGAACTCCCCATAAGAGGAGCTAGAAATATGAATCTATCACTTTAGTGTTTCATAGCTATTACTGATACTTAGTAAGCATTTATAAGACAATTTGACCATAACATTCACTACAAACAGAGCTGTTAATAAATAAATTTGAAGTGCCCACTTATTTGTGGAGCAGGGAAAAATATCAGTTCACTATTTGTTTTTTTGTTAAATCTACTATATATTTGAGATAGTTTGCATGACTGTCTGTGTGTCTGTCCGTAAGTCTCTTTGTTCAAGAACTCCTGAATGACCATAGAGGGACAGCAAGCATGGGGACAGTTATACTTCTGAATCACAGGGGTTAGCAAGTGCCCCAGCCTTAGGAGGCTGGCCCAAGGAAGCAGGTGGTAGGCAGGCTGCATGACCCCTGCCGCCCCAGGCCACCCCCTGGGAGCAGACGCCAGCTGTTTCCACTCCCTACCCTGAGTTCCTCACACCTCTTGACCACGTGTCCTGACTCCTGCACTCCCACCCCCTGCTCTGACTCCTGCACCCCCACTCCATGCCCTGAGCCCCTCATCATCCCAACTCTGACTCCTGCACCCCTCAAACTCCCTGCCCTGACCCCCTCCCACACATCCCCAAGCCTCTGTCCTGACTCCTGCATC